TGTTGGTTGTTGGTTGTTGGTTGTTGGTTGTTGGTTGTTGGTTGTTGGTTGTTGGTTGTTGTTGTTGTTGTTGTTGTTTGTTGTTGTTTGTTGTTGGTTGTTGTGGCTGCAGGAGGAGTTGGCAAGAGTTTTGGCTGCTACTTGAGTGAAAGTTCTTTGGCTGCTGGGTGTTGTTACAACTCTTCATTTTGCCGCCCAGGCTGCAGTACATAGTCAGCGCGACCACCGACATGGCGACCGTCGGTAGGTCAACTCTTTAGTGTGGACTGTGAGGGTACTTTATGGTGGTTTGAAGTGTGGCTCTACGGAGCGGGCGATGACTGAGGTCTGCCCATACTGTGTGCTGAACAGTGCCTTCTTATAGTTGGCAATGCAAACATTGGAGCCAACGTAGGGCCCAATGCCTTGGAGCCAATTTCTCCATTCCCAAACACGTCTTCCGTCAGATCATCTTCAACTTTCTCTCTCTCTCTCTCTCTCTTCTTCTCTCTTCTTCTCTCTTCTTCTCTCTCTTTTACTCGATCATCCTGACTTGCTTACCTTGAATCTTCATAAACCCCTTCCCAAGTTGGATTGGTGTCTCCATAACATCCGAGAGAGCGCTCGTCGACTCTTTTGGAATCGGCATCACGATCGGGCTCGTCGTGATTCTTTTCGCGGGCAGAGCTACAATGCAGATGCCTATAGTTGGGCACGTCACTGTGCTGATCAACGCAGCTTTTTTGCAGTCCTATCAGGAGCTGCAGTTAACCCAGCTTGTCTTGCCAGCATGAAGCACGGAATGGTTGATGAATTCTGCCCCAAGTGTTCCCGTGCGGTGGCCCCCACTTGGTTGCACCTTGCTTTGGAGTGCCCTGGCTTACAAAGTGAGCGTGAATGCTACATTCGCGATCCTTGCATATATCCGGAGGATATGTTCCACAAAAGGACTGGTTGGCCGACAGCCCTGTGTGGGCGACTCACACGTGCAGGTACTTGGCTGGCTTAGCCATCTAAGGCGTCTGCTGCTACGCGAGCGCTATTGTCGAAGCTAAAAGCAGAGCTCTGGTGCTGCGGTGAGGGCGGCTGCTGAGAAGCCGTCTTCAACCTGAATTTTGCGCGCGATGACTGAGGTTTGAGATCCTCTTTGCGAACTGGGGACCACCTTGCAGGGTGCTCATCGAGAACTTCAGTGAGTGGTTCTCGGCATTCTTCTTGATATACAGGCCGGCGCCAAACGATTGGGCTGATTGCGTGAAGATGTGCCGTGCACAGTGATGTACTAAGTGGCGTTGCCACGCACCATTTGTTGGTTTATTTGTTTTTCGCTGCTTGTGTGGATGATGGTGCATACTGTGGTGTCAGAGGAACTTGGGAGAAATGTGTGGAAGAGAGATTCATGAGATCTTGCAGGTGCGTTTTGGGTTTCGCGGTGCTCAACGTGGTGAATAGTGCCTGGAGATGCATTTGTAATTTTTTCTTGGTGGTTTCTCAAAGACCTCACCCAAACCAAGTATGTTGCATGTACATATATATATATATATTTTTTTTTTTTCGCCCGACGCGTCATAAGGTGGAGTGAAACATGCTAAACTAGTGCAAAATCACTAAATTGACGGTGTGTAAACGACAATCACAAAAGTGTTGTTATTGGAGGCTCAGCTGCACGCATTTTCATGCTTGCCCCCATGGGCACGCATTTTTAACTACTGTTTATGCTTGCTCAACAGCCACCACTCAGGAAATATCTTCAGAATTGTTTACACAAAATTGTTTGCAAGACATTTGTGCACACATAATTGTGCAAATGCATGCGAGACAATGCTTCTGAATCCAACTTTGGCCATCGTAATTGATTCGCCGATTTTTCATGTTGCAACCTCCAAACTGCATCTCCAGGTGTTTTTGTCCAGCAAACGATGAAGACGGCCAGCTCTGATGAGGAGCTTGCCTTCAAACAAAAAGAGAAGGACGCACAGATGCCACCCGGTTTGAAGGGATTTCAATGTTTTCAATGTTATTTTTTCACAACCTTCTTGTGTTCTTGACCCGTGCCAAACCTTGAAGTCAGCTTTGCTTGTAGTGAATCTTGCGGTGTTGCGCGGTCTGGCAGGGTCAGCTTGTCATTGGTGTTTCAACTTATTTTGGAATTTGGTCTTTCTGTGATGTCGAGGTACACACGAAAAGTGAAGCGGCTTTTCCAGACCATCGACGATTCTGGTGATGGTGCAATCAACTTTCAGGAATTCTCGAAGTTGGTGCAATCGCCCAAATTGAAGTTTTGGATGAGTCAGCTGGACACTTGCAGTCGCAAAGAATCCGCTGTGTTTTTTCTTTCCCTCAAATTCTGGTGACCCACGGGTTAGCAAGTTGGCAAGCATGTGGGTGTGGTGTCAACTCAGCAATCCTTCCAGCAAATTTTGGCAGTTACTTCCTTCACTGAACTTGTATAACTCAGTTCATGTCTGTCACCCAGATCGATCACTCAGTCTTTTGGGCCAGCCTGACGCTTCTCCTTTGTGCGCCGAGTTTCCCACCCTTTCGCCATGGAACTGGACCAGCGAGTTCCTTCGGCTCCAGGGACCAAACGGCACCAACTACTCTGCGGCAACCGGACCCTTCCAACCGGACCGGCAGCGGCGGTTTCATCGGTGTGGCGCGAGGACACGCCGGTGTCAGGTTTCGCTCTGGCGGTTTCGCTCGGGCTCCGGCGCTTCAGGTTCAACGTTTGCGGAGCAGTTCGTCGCCGTTGGGCTGTTTGAGGTGACCTAGGCGTCTCAGCGTGTAGGGCGCGTAGCCACGCCATACTCGGGTGGTGAAGGTGTGGCCGCGCGGCTGCGCAAGGTGGCATCACAGTGAGACCATGGGCTAATATACTCTTTGGATCGCCTCGAGGGGTTGATCCATCATTGCAGCAAGCGGATGTTGCCGGGCCTTAAAGGTCCAAATCCTCGGGTGCTCCATTGTTGGTTCCGGCCCCGGCCCGGGCAGAGCAATGGGTTTGATCATCGCACCTTGTGCCTGGCGATTTCAAGCTCACAGCATTGCGGACCTCCGTGCTAGGAGTTCACTTGGGCATGTCTTCCGCTGGCGCGTTCGCTTGGGGCATTTCTCGTCGTGTTGGTGTGTAGTCTCAAGTAGACGGAAGCTTGAAGCCGTCGTGCAGCTTTCATGGTGCTGTTCGCCCAAGCAGGCGAAACACCTGTGTCGGTTCACCCGTCACTCCCTGGAACCGGGCACATGGTCTCCGGTGGTCGACATGTCTAGGGAAGCCTTGAAGTGTGTCTCACACGAGACGACTTGGAGTTGGCGCAAGAGCCGAACGTTGGCGCAAGCGCCGAACGCTAGACTGACCTAGCGCAAGAGCCGATGCAAAGCAGGGAACGGTCTCTTTCGCGTGTTTCCCCTGCCACGTCGTGAGGGTTGTTACAGCTGTCAACACGATTCACCACCGGGCCGAACTGCCAGAATATATGCCACATGGATCCACATGGAATGCTAGAATATATGCCAGATAAAGCGTCAGAATAAATGCCAGAAAGAATATCAGAACATATGCAAGATAGAATGCAGTTATATATCTATGACAGATAGAATGCCATGGTGGGGATCACTCGAAGTAAAGTAACTTTCTGTTTGTTTTCTACGCTGTTTTGCGCATATCCTGTGACCTCATTTGGGTGGCATCAACAGTCTTGTGCATTTTCCAGTCTTGTGCATTGGTCGCAACCGCTTGCTTTGGAACCCTCAGGAATTGGAGTACCATGATTTATTGAGCCTCTTCGAATTTCTGGACAATGGAGATGGCGAAATCACGTTCCTGGTCACCGAATCGCCTTTCTTTCCCTTCTGTGCTTGGGGGTGTGTCATTTTTTCCGGAGGTGTATCCCACAACATGGCGGTTTGGAAGGAGAAGGAAGAATAAGTTTTGCCCATCAAGTTCATGTGCAATTGAGTTGTAGCTTCAGTGGTTTCGTAGTGGTGCAGGGTCGACACAGGACACGCAGAGAGGGTTCTTTTTTGGGTTTAACAGATTCGAAGGCAAAGGTGCAGTGTGAGCAGGTTTGGGAAGTTCAGGGTGGGAGCTGCTGCGTGTCGTTCATTCCAGTTCATTCCCCTTCCGCAGGTGGAAGATGTGTGTGTTTGAATCCCCAAAGGCGACCCATTCGGCCCCCGAAGTAACTGCTACATGTTGGTGAAGGGTCCAGTTCACCCTGGTTGGTTTCGGGTCATTTCACCCGAAAAAAACGCGAACTGACAGAGGGTCCAAACAAAATCAGCGAGTCCAAGGGTCGTCCCATGAACTCGCCACCGGGCGGATCTCAACTCGTCCGGCGGAGTTCAGATCCCCCGATGGATCCCTCGGCTGAGCGAATTGGTTTCCATTCAACTTCGCTCGCTCGGAGTCCAGTGCCACACAACACCGGAAACACCTTGACCCAAAGCTGAGCGAATTGGGCGGCCATTTTTTTTGGGGTCTTGGTCAAACAGCTCTCGGTCTGGGTGGAACATGTCAATGATTGAACATGTCACCCCCACCCCCAACTCCCGATGTTTCGCTTCCGAAAACTACAAACACTTGGAATGTTTGGTTTCTGCTGTTTTTCTTCGGCGGAGGACGTTTCGCCTTTTGGACGTTTCCAAGCGAGGCTGATGGAGTTCATCGAGGGTGCGGCGAGGCTGCGGGGCAATGCCAAGGCACTGGACATTTGGCGAATCGAGACCAAGATGGAGGCGCTTTTCGTGCCCACCAAATGGAAAGAACTTGGACGTGGTTTCCTTTTCTTTTCTTTTTTTTGGCGCGTTGTGCAGGTGCTGATTGAGGAGGTGCTGAAGGAGATGAAGAGCCTTCCCGGGCTGGAAGGGAATTCCGTGAAGCTGCAGGATGTCTTCGACAACTCCATGTTACTCTCAACCTGTGGTTGGTTGGAGGGTGTGAGACATGTGAGACAGTGCTGGATGGGGTTGGGGTGGATGAGTGGCCGAGTGGTTGAGTGGGTGAATAGGGTGGGTGCTTGTTTTGTTCACAAACCATGCACAGCCATCGAAGATTGAGCCGGCAATGACTAAAGACTTGAGCTGAACAATGACTAAAGGTAGACTGCACCCCACTTGAGCTGTCCATCGACAAGCCTCTCAATGAGTTGAAGACATCTTTTAAACCTTCTCCCAAGGCCATCCAGCTCTCTTTGCTCAGGCCATCCCCTCCCTGGTTCGAAGCAGAGGGTTTTGAAAGCTTATGGATTCGCAGAGCTTCTCAGGTACGCGAATTCGAAACTACTGTGTTTATGCAGGCTTTGAGGGTCCAATGACTTGTACCTTCTGAGAAGGTACGTGGGATCTATAGGGAAAGATCTTTCAAACCAGGTCCAACCCAGGCCCTCCTTCCCCGCATTCGCACCAGTTCCACCGGTTCCACCGAGGTTCCGCCACATCAAGGTCACGACTATCGACCAGGTACCGGAAGGCCAGGTGGGTCGCAGCGGCAGCTCGATGATCGTGCGGCCCTCGATGCTGGAGAACAAGAGTGAGGCTGAGACGTGAAGGCGTGAGACTGGAGTGGATGGGGAGTGGGGAGTGGTGGGGAGTGGTGGGGAGTGGTGGGGAGTGG